AAATTTGAAGAAAAAAATATATGAGAAATTTGCGAAGTTTGCAAGCTTCATTGTTTTGCACGAGCACTCAGAGATGGCGCTCGCAGAAAGCGATTCGCTTGAAAGTCTACTGTAAGAGAGGGTCGACCAAAACCATCGAACTGTGGTTCATTTTTTTATTGCCGAATTCGGTCGTTCTTTCATTTAGATTCTCGGACTTGTGAAGACACTTTTTCACTGGAATCAATCAAAAAGTTTGAAAAGGAGCCACGGAATGACTTCGTGATTTTTTTCTTCTTCGAATTACGAACATTGCTTGAACCAAAGAAGTTAAACAAGAGACAGCTATACTAGAGAAATAGTGCACAAAATCATACCTGGGGCTGTAAAAAGTCCAACGCCTCGATTGAAGAATCGATAAACGTCACTTTTATCGATGCAACCCTTTGAATTCATAACCACTTGAATGTCCTCGGGATGATCGACCACGATGAAACACTTTGGACCCAACCATCCCAGAAATGGTAACTTCTGTTTCGTGAATACATCTTCAATGGTTTCGAGTATTTCTGTGAAGTATTTATAAAAGTTCGACGGGAGTCAATCGATGAGTTTTAATTATTTTAATTGAAATCTTGTGGTCTGAGATTTAAAATAAAAAGATGGTATTCACAGGGGAATAATCTCGATCCATTTCGGATTACGGGGTACAAGTGACGTAATAATTAATTATTTTACAACAAGATATTTTTGTGAAGAGTCCACTGCCGTTTGATAAAAAGTAAAAATGAATCTTTTCAATGATATATTTGCTTCGCGGTTAAAATTCAATTTACACAAGTAATTTTCAAACTGTTTCGCATCTTTCATCCGAAATCATGGTGGTGATAATTTATGAAATCGTTCGAGGTGATCGATCACAGGTGTAAATAAATAAATCAATCAAAACCTTGACAATGACCTTTATTGTTTTTGCCCAAAAATCGTAATGCACATCCAAGTAATGCGTAATCATCAAGGACCGGCAAATTGCGTGTAAATTTCGTAACTCGTCGCTTGTAGAAAAAGCAACTGATCAAGTAGCTGATCAGCCACCAAAGTACAATCACCGCAACCGTTGCCAACAAATAATATCGAAATAACATTTTTTTCAAATCAGAAATCTGTTAAAATCACGCACAAAAAAATCTTTGTCTTTTTATATGCACTATTTGGTCATAATGACTTCAGTACCTCTTCTCATTAGAAACTTTGGCACAACGAGAAAAATGCGTCCGTTTCGATGGATGTTTCACTTAAAACTGAAATTGTTTCCTGGATAAATTATTTGGACGAAGAAGTTGCCGAAGAAAAACAGCAAAATTGCGTAGAATTTCTTATCGTTCTGTCACCAAAAATGTTATTTCCACAGACGATTCAACATAAAACACGATCACACAACACGATAGTTCCGAAAAAAACACGATTTGCAACTAAAAATCTGCATCACATTCAGATACCTCCTCACTCGAATCGCTCCAACGCACAAATGACGTTCAATTTTTCAGTTATATCGCATTAACAATTATTTACGCAACAAAAATTATATCATGCATCAGGTTCAAAGTCATACCAAACAATGACTACTAAATGTTGTTGGTTTGCGGAGCTCAGGTGTTAATTGGCACAAACGTATATTCGAATAATAATAAATTTGAACTTAATTCAGGAAACGACTAGTGATCAAGTTTAAATGATTGTTTATTTTATTATTGATTCTTTGTTGAGTAGAATCGAACTGAAGTACTGAAGATTCTATTTAATTGATTTGTTTTCAATACATATATTTAAAATGTAGAGATACATTACAGATCAATAGGCCATTAGAAAGAGACAGACGACATATGTTTTATTAAAATCAGTGACTAGAGTGCTTCAAATTTAAAGTGGCTTAAAGCAAATACATTATGTCGTGTACACAAAACCATTTTACCTAGTTTCAAATTCACTTCAAATATTACGTCGCAATATGTGTGAATGAATTTTGAATTTTGTTCACAAACATTGAGAAACCAAAAAGAAAAGAAGTGCAAAATCGGTTTCTCGCGCTTGTGAAGGGGCGATGGCCAATTAGTTTATCAATTTAAATAAATAGACGAAATTTTATTATTAAGAAACTGGTCTGAAAAATGAATACGTCGAAACAAATTACTTTTGTCAAACACTTTTGAAAACAATAGGCACGAAAATGACAACACATTTTTATCATTAACAACACACAATTGAATAGATGAACCGTTTTCATCATATCCAACATTTTTTGTTTGGACATAAACAGAAGAAAAAGTTGCTATTGGGGGGAAATCCGAGATAAATGACGATTAACTTCGATTTTTCCCCATTTTTCGATGTCTAGTCATTCTGATCTAACCTTTTCCGCTGATTTTTTTTTTTTTTTTTTTTTTTCAAAATTTCTTTATTGCTTCATCAGCCGGGCAACGCAATATTAAATCAAATAAAATTGATAAAATTATTCAACTTGGCTGTAATATGCATCTCTTTAAAAAAATCTCATTTTCATTGGAGCATGAAGCTAAGATTTCATGTGCGCTACAGTCAGCTCAGTCTAATTGATACAATTACTTCTCAACAGTACGATAAATTAACATTCAGCAGTTTCATATCAATAATATACAAGAACAAACCATCGCAATCTCTTTATTTTCTGCATGTATTTTATTTTTTCAGTTTGTTAAACAAGAAACACATTTCGTTAAAATACATTTTAAGTAGTCTTTCATTGTGATGAATTGTATGAATCATCATTTTTTAAATTTAAAAACCGTAAATAGATAAGATAAAATCTTATCTTTTTTGGAAAAAATTTCTAGATAATTTTGGTAAGATACCAAACATATTCTATTTTTATCTAGTTCAATTTTCGATCTTAACAACAACGACGTTTACAACCCAATAGTTTTTCGCATTCCTCACCGCCTAATATAAGCAATGTTTCCTCGCGAGCAATTCCTGAAAGTTGATAAAACAGTTTTATTTAGATTTAGAAATGAATTAACAATTATCAGTCGAAAATTTACTGGTCATGCTTTCGCGAACTATGTCCAACGAATCATATAATTTTTTTTCCAAGGCGCTGGGGATTCGTATATCTGAAAAGATAATGGAAAATAATAACATTTACGACCATTTTGGAAGAAATTAAATCAAAACTATTTATGCACCTTTTTGGTATCGATCTATGAGTGCATTCCAAAAGTTCATGAGTGCAGTATTTATTTGTTTAGCGTTAGCATTCTTTGGAAGAATTAATTTCGGAATATCTGAAAGAGAAATCCATTTCAGTAGATTACAATTTTTATTTAGATTTGTAATCAAAACAGTAAATAAAAGTTGAATTTAAAATTTACTTGGATTTTTTGATTCTTTGAGTAGTTTGGCAAATGCTTGAATTTGGGTAACCACAATCGGATATCTTAATAGTACAAAATCTTCAACTGTGTAACACAATGTATGATTGGTTTTTATTAGAAAGAATTAAATTTCAAAACAAGTGATATACTCACCTTTATGTGTATGATCTAAAGGTACATCTTTTACACCTATGTAATAAAATTTATGATTTTTTCTTAGAAAGAATTAAAATCAAAACAAATGATAATATACTCACTATAAATGCATATTTTATATAATATGCATTTAAGTAGGGCTATTAAATTATCAAGAGCCACTGTTTCCGGTTCACATTGCACAGGAGAAATATGATAAGATCCGACGATCAGAAGTACGAACACAGAAAATTTCATTATGATTTCGAATTTGTCGGTTTCAAGTAAACGGTTCAAGTGAATATAACAATTTGATAAATTTCTCCTTGAGTTCACTGCTTTTAATATACATCTTATCAGACAAAACCAACCAAAACCAACAATGATTTTGAATAGCGCGGCCAGACAGTAAACAAATATATTTCCAAGTATGACGAGTTTCATTTTATTGCAACAGATGACAATATGCAAATACCATATAAACAGGTGAACGAAAGTCTTTGGAATAAATTCAGACGTCCGCCATTTGAACAACAAACACCTATATTAACTTGAATCCTATCAATAAACAGGTGAAATAATGAAAATAAATCAAATAATCTTTGTTAGGTAGGAATATCAATGGATGTTCAGTCAGACTAGAAACGAAATAGGTAATTTTCTACTTTTTTTAGTTTTTTTTTTGCTTTTTTAGTTATTTCTTAATAATAAAATAAAAAATACAAAAAACTAAATATATATTGGTGTTAAATTCAGGTTTGGTGGCTTAGACCGCAGAAGATAGTATCATAAATATTTTAACCGTTTTAAACGAAAACACTTGAAACAACCAAAGGGTCCATTTCAAAAAAATTTAATGAACCCACCAAACACACTCCAAGCCGAAATATTCAACGTCCAATATGTGTACTGTTAAAATTCATGTATAATATTAATAAGCATATGTCTTGAATTCGGAAAATATATTTAACTTGAATATTAGATCAATTCTCCCGAACAACAACGATTGACTTTGGACGGATTTATTGTTTTCAAGAAATTCACAACGCATGTTTGAAACATTTTGGTCGCGTAGTCAAACATTATCTCACAAAAAGGGTTTGAAATTACCCAAAAACAGTATCAACGTTTACGGCTACAGCGGTAGCATTGTGCCAAAAAATATTAGTTTAAAGTCAACATGAAGACGATTATTTTAATCTTTTTTTACATTTTGTGTAGCATTTATTGCTGTGGCTCACATTGATCACGGAAATCGCGTCGTTGGCGGTGAAGATGCTGTCGAAGGCCAGTTTCCATACCAAATTTCACTTAGAGACAAATCTTCCAAACAACATTTTTGCGGTGGATCAATTATAACCGATCGTTTCACTCCTTCGCAGTGGCATATCTCTCTTTTTGACTATGGAAAAAAGGAGCGGGCCTATATGAGAGCCGGCGGAAACTATTTCTCCTGTTGAGGAGGAAACTATTTGATGCGACTCCAGAGACTGTTTCTTAGAGCTACATATGTGTAGAGGAGAGAAGCATGAAGAGTAGAGCTCCATCAGCTCCTCAAAGCGCTTCTCTTCACATATATTGCTCTGAGAAACAGTCTCTGTTCGACGCCTTATAAACTGATGCTTTCATTTGGGGACTTATGGCTCGTGTAATTCGTAAGCCGTTCATAGTATGCTTTATAAGTCAGCTTTGATGTGTACTTGCATTTCGCTCTTGTTGTTTTTTGTACAAGAAAATAGTATCCAGAGCCAAAAAAGTGTTAAAAAACACATAATTTCAAGAAAACACCTACCAGCACGACGAGTTCCAACCCTTTATTTATCTCTTTCAATATAATCTTTTGCTCTTATAGTGCTAAGTCAATCGTATACAATCGAATTCCAACTAAATTTTCTTCAATTCAATCAAGTTTAAATCAAAAGTTTCCATCTTCAAATCAACGCTTAAAGTTCTGTTTGCAAAAAAATGAATTGATAGGTTTGTGCTAGTAAAACCTGTCAACTGAAAATCGAATCGCTGACTCAAAAGTGATCTAATCAGTATTTTTATTGTTTGCTATGGCAGTGTATGTGTCTATTTCAATATTTACATATTTTATATCGGATTTCATCAAAAAATGGGGCAATGTTTACGATGCAAAAGTCATAAAAAAAATAAATTTTGTCAAGCGGCAGATGGATGTGAATAACATCAACGTCTGAAAGTAATTCGGCCGGCTCTGTTCAGTACAATGTTCAATTGTTGATAAGGTTCAACCATATGAAAAACAAAAAAAAATTCCTTTGCGAAAAATGTTAAATTCAGAGAATTTGAATGTGAATATACCTTCTAAATTTGGCAATATGACATTTACGTTGACCACAATCAAATTTATTTCGTGTTTTTTCACATCGAAAACGAATTTGAAACCAGAATTACAATATTTATATATAAAATTCGTCAGAAAGTGACTCGTAAAAAGTGATTTCGTTTTGGCAATTGTTAATTAATGCACGTGTTTGATCAGTCGACTGACAATCAAAGTGGGCAGTCGAAATTTCGCAGTAACAAAGCGTTTCGTCAGAGAATAAGAGCATGTTGTTTCTTGTCGTAACACATGTTTGCAAGATTTTTTGGCATATTTTTCCACCTCTGCTGCCGCAAAACGTACCGCGGAATCGAAAAAGAAGAGGCGATATAAAACGGCATCAACAAAAACTTATAAACAACACAAAAAGTCATGTGTTTGGACCGCGTGTTATAAGCACAACAAAAATTGCGTGTGTTTCGCATACACAAAACAAAAAAACACTGTCCAAAATTAGCATACACACATATGTGATTGTATGGTGTCTAGAAGCATCCAAAAATGCAAAATTTCGCAATATTATGCAAGAGATGTGTGTATCGTTTGCAATGACAGCTGCAAATAATGGAAAAAAAATTGTACGTATGTGTGCGACTGCAAAGAGTTAAAAAGAGACAACCAATACCATCTGCTGCCACATGCTTTTCACTTCCCGAATAGTTTTTGTTGTTGTTGTTCTTGTATAGGGTAAAAAATCACATGTCATTTTTCTCCGTTTTTTTTGACAGAAATTCTCACATTGGACCATACAAAAATTGTATATATATATGATAACAATCGCTGCACAACCGAATTCGAAGCCAAAAAGAAACGCCATCCGAACGTCAAACACATTCTCTATCACGCGCGCGTCTACAACAAGCAGAAGAAAAAAAATGTGCTTGGCTTTGTTGAAATGAATAAGATATATATGTGTACGGTTATGATGTGTCTCTTTCGCCAACAAAAACAAGAACGAGGAAAATGCTTGCGAATCGACGCAAATACAGAACATATGTCTAAGTTGATTTTCGCTTTGCTCTTGTGTGTGCTTCTCTTTTTTCGTCTGTTCCTTTCGCTAAAATCGTATATATATGAATCGATACGATGGTCGCGCACAGCCGTACCGCATCAACAGAAAATAGCGACGATGACACTACTCCGTTCGTTCACGACACCGAAGACATTCGACGTGCTTAGATGCTGTACAAGTAGACAGTGCCACTTCGTATGCTGAACTGAACAGTCGTACAAACGGCGACTTTTTGACAGTGCAAGAAATAAAGCAACAAAACCATCAATCATCGGTCTCGTTCTCTTTCAATCGAACAAACAGAGACAATCATACACACAAACACACATACCGATTCGATCTTATTGTGCTTGCACGCGTTTGCGTGTTGTGAAAACATAATGACTGTGTTGAATTGAAGTAGAAACGAACGAAAAAAAGCAACATACATTTAATTTCGAAAAGTGGAGAATTATAGTGAGTATCAAAGCGAAATAGAAATAGTACGAGTTTTAATCACAAGCGAAACAGTCCATACAGTGCAAGATTGAGTGAGTGAAAAATAAAAAAAAGGAGAAATTTTTCGATCGAACCGTATAAACGGGCATTTTTTCAGTGCATCTCTTTTTATTATTCGGCATAGAACTAGTGTGTGCGCTTTTTTCCTTTCTTCTTTTTGTCATCTATCGTTCCGCATTCTGCCCCGCGTGCAAGTGTGCATTTGACAATCAAACGTTTTCGTTTTTTTTTGCATTGTATCGAACGTGAACTGTTTTTTTCTTGTTGTCGTCGTCGTCGTCGTCGTTTGGCAACTCAAACAACGGCTACTGCGATTGAACAGACATTGAACATCAACGACAGCAACAACAAAAAAAAGTATCAAACACATTTTTTTCCATTCTATAAAACGCAAATAAAATCATGCCGAAGACCGTGAAAGCCGTAAGTTTATGAAATACAGTTGCAGTACACAACGGACACAAACTTTTATTATTCCTTTTTTTTTCGTCATCATTTTGCGAGAGTGACTCGTGTGTTTTTTTTATTGATTTCGGTACAAATTGTGCGGTTTTACTTTTGTGTTTATTTGAATCTTTGCATTCGTTTTTATTTGACATTATTTGGGAATGTGCCTTAAATTGCACACCAATACATTTTCCTTATGATACACCACACAAACGATGTATGAAATGGTAATTATTTTTGTGTTTCATTTTTTTTGTTTCGATTTAATTTTTATTTAGAATCGTAGTTCTTTTTTCATGTTTCTCTTCTCATTCATGTTTGTTTTCGTGAAAAAAATGCATTTTCTTTACAAAAAAATGAACTAGACGGTCAATAAAGAGTTGAAATCGTCCGAAAACCCCGAGTCTGACATGAATTGAAATCAATGCGATTGGGTGTCGTAAGTGCCCAAAATTTATTGATTTTTCCCATGTAAATCGGTGGCATTTGCAATGATAAACCAATTCCAAGAAATGTCGACAAAAAAAAAAAATAAACAAATTCCGATAAGATTTCCATTTCAAAATCCATCATGATTGCGGCTCAAAGTCATACATCAAAAACCTAACCAAAATGAATATATTTCGAATGGGAAAAAAAGTATGAGCAAAACAAGGAAAGAGAAAAAAAACTCGTCGAGTAAGCGTGAATGAGACGACTGGACGAAAAGGGTATGAAGTTCGCATTTGTCATGTGTGTAAAAGAGACGACTAGCGATAGCACGAATTTGTCTACCGTATTCATTCGTGCTGCTGCTACGCTAACAAACATTTTTTCCCGCATGTTATCGCCGTTCTCCGCTTTACTTTTTTTTCTTCAACTATGATGACAGTTCTCGTGCAACAATATTCGAACACCGATTTTTTTTCATCTCTTTCATTTTTATTATTATTGTATGAGAGAATTTCTCCTGCTGAATTTGAAAACGCTGCTACCATCTCTGTCTATCGTTCACTCTCCGCCGAATTCGAACAGTAGTGCTGTGTGCACATTTTTTCCCATCAAAACAATTCAATTGATTGTTGATACCGGCCAATTTAAGACATCGAGACGGTCGAAGCAAAAAAAAAATTAGCATCTTTATCAAACTGTAAAAATAGTTGATTTTCTGCAATTTCGGAAATTTAAGTCATTTGTTATAATATTGGTTGTGTGTGTTTGGGTGTGGCGTAAATAAGAGAACGGTGAATTTTCGGTGAAAATCGATTTTTTGGAAGGCATTTGAGTTTTGTCGAATTGAAAATCGGCTTCAAAATTTATGCATATATACACACATTACAAAATTCAAACTGTATAAAATGACAAAACCATCACAAACGACGTCGATCCATTTTTCGGCTCACTCCGTATGGATATGAGAGAAACGAACACACACACACTTATATATACAATTCGATTCGCTGTCGTTGCATTATTGTCAATATATTATTTCCTTTTGAATATAATTTCGAGGAATTTACATCGAACACTCTTGTGTAGAGAATTTATTCGATTGAATCGAGGGAGTGAGAGCAAAACGGAGACACACGAGTAGGTAGAGACAGAGAGACACCCGTTACACTCTATACATTACATAAAATCTATCTATTTCGCCATTCATACTCGCCTAGCAGCACAGGTATAAATTGGATCGCTTTATTTTAGTTTATGTTGGATTGATTTGAACAGGCATCATAGCACACAACTAACTATTTAGTTTGCAAAACGAACCACGTCCATTTAATGCCATATACTATATGTTGTGTGTTGGTTGAATTTGGTCGGTAGGCTTTTGGTGTACCTATAAACGGCGAAAATCATTCGAGAATAGAAAATCCTTTTGTTTATATCGTACGATATGTGTGGCCATTGTTCGTGCATGGGGCCCCCATTCAGTGCATTTGCACTTTCTTCCGATTTGGAGTGACGGGGAATTCATTATATAACAATATAATATCTCGCACACATTTCTCTCTCGCACACATTTCTCTCTCGCTCTCTCTCTCTCTTTAGTTTCGAGAAAATTTTCGACAGAATATTCCATCTTGCACACACCATTCTCTGGCACTCCATAACATTGAGTCGACACGATGTTATCTCAAGTAGAACACGCATTATCATTATACAACAACACAAATTAGACGTTGTTCTTGTGTGTATGAGTGCACAGATAGAATTTTGGCAAATGCCATCGGCCACTTTAGCCCAAATAATTCACATTACTTCAACGAAACCCATCACACACACTCACTCGCCCACGGTTGCATGTAACGATAGCTAAAATTTTACAATACCACAAAAATGTTGTCATTTGGTTGCATAGTTTGGATCATAGTTATATCGGCAGGGCTTGTCATTCACATTCATGTCGATTATTAAAACTCGGGTCTTCTAGTAACACGGTGCAAGTGGTTTGTATCATTTCAATCCCTGGCTATCAATGCAAAGGGACAGTGGTTGTGGAATACTTTGTTTTTGAACCGGTTCGGTTTTTTTCTCTCGAACCCTTTTTCTCTTAAAAAAGCGACATGACAATTTTAGCATATAGAAAATGTTTGAAACGTACGTGAGTCAAAATGAGAGAGCGAGCTGCAGAAAAGCGAAGAGAAAGATCAATAGACCGAGTTAGATATTGTATTGCATTTGAAATCACTAAAATCCAGTTCTAATTTATGCAAACTAATAAAATATTCGTCAGGAAAATGAGGGATTGTGTTGCCTATGCAACATAACAAACATATACACACTATCGGGTCGCATTCGCTATCTCTAACCCTTTTCTATCGTCATCGTCGTCGTCTTCGTTTGCCACCCCTCTATTGCTTAACCTGTCAAACATGGTTCAAACAACAAATACACGATATTTCGATATCATTTTGAAATCGCGCTTCATTTTCATGCATTTGCCAAAGACAAACCGATTTTCCATTCGACGCAACACACACATTTGATGTGTGCATTAATGTTGTCGATTTATGCAACTTGCCCACGGTCTATTTGGATCGAATGTGTCAAAGGGCTTAGCCATTAAATACGACATACACACACAATTCTAATGATGATCACATTCATCGGAATCAGTTTCCTCAGCCGCATCAAACAAAATACTTAAGCGCATTTCACAAACATTGCCATGTTTTTTGATGCCAATGCTCGGTTGTGATGGAGAACAAGAGGGAGATTGAGATATATAGAGAGAGAGCCAAGAATTCCGAATTTGCTAAGAAACTTCAACGTATTTTCAACACATAACTTCAACTAAGTACAACAAACGGATCCAACGAAAACTTTATAGACGATGCAACGCTATTTGGGTAGCACTAAAAACTTATACTACACAAAACTTTTCTATGCAATGGTAAAAACACGTCAAACCAGCGTATACACACAAAACAGTGCAACTACAAAATTCAACATATTCTTTTTTTACGAACAAACCACAGGCTCTCTGTTATCAGAAGCGTTTTTATTTATTTTCCTTGGAACAGGGTTTGTTTGGAAAACAAATTTGAATTATTAGAACTTTATCGAAGCTTTTATTTCAATCGATAATCGCCAAAACAATAAACTCCATTAAACATAAAACAATTTTTGAAATAAAAACATTTTTATATTGGAATTCTTTGTGAAAACTTCAAAGATCGATGGAATAAAAACCGCCTTCGAACGTTGAAACGTTTCAAATGAATGTTAAAACTTTGAAAAAATTCCTTAGGAAACTCAACATTTGGCACAAAAAGCTGAATCTTCTCAAGGGTGCCCTAATGCACCTTGATAGAAAATTAAGAAATGTTAGATGGAACTTCTCAATTGCACACAGGTGTGCGGAAAATTATCCACAAAAAAACCGAAAATTTCCGATCGATTTGGAATTTGCCTTGAAAATTCAAAATTTTCGTATAAAGTTTCAAATTTTCAGTAATTTTTGACTGAATTGAGTTGCCGAAAACATTTTCCATAATACGTTATTTTAATTTGATTTTTCTTGGTAATTCCAAGCTCTTTACTGTCATTCGCCTTTTTTCTGGAATTTAAAATGTGGGTCTGACCCCTCGAATATGCTTCGACAAACTTCTAATCAAAAGTTGACAACATTCCATATTCTATTAAAAAACCACTAGTTCAATCGTCTATGTCATCTATCAGAAACAGTGATAAATCCAGTTTTCTCGTGCCTGGTAAAATCGATTGCATGGTAAATAATTTGTGACTACATGCAAATTATTTTGTGCTTATGTGAATCGGCTTCATTCTAATCATCAATTCAAAACTGATATCAATATAATCGAAATCGCAATTTCAAATGCAAATACTCTTTATTAAAGTCATGATATGGTTTTGAGGTTTGCACATATCGGATACTGTGCAAATGAATTTTGTGGCAACGAAGAAGAGAAAAAAAGAGTGAATGCAGTTTTTGTGGAAGAATGTTGTGTCTGTTCCGGGCATCAGAGTAAATATTTACTGTGCATAGTGTGGGAAGTAAATTTTTTAGTGGAATGTCAAAATGATTTTCGGTTAAAATCGAAAATTTCGGAAATGCCATCATACATCTAGTAGTCGTCGTCGTCGTCGTCGACGTGGTCGTTGTTTTTATCCAAATTGAGTTTTAGTTGAGCGTTGTGCATATTTTTCGTTGCATAAAATAATGAATGCATATGTTGATTCCGTAGAGAAATAGAACATATGAACATAGAGACAGAGAGAGAGAGGAAGATAGGAAGCGAATCGTAGTTCCATAAAGTAGAAATTGCATATAATGAAGATGATGTGCAATGAAAATATGTGAAGCGCGATTGTTGTTGTGTGTGACCCGAGCCGAAATGTATCTATTGTGTGGCACAGTAGCAAAATGGGTACTTTAAATTGCGATTGCCGTCTCGAAAATGTATATGTGAAATGTTTCAACAATATTTCCCGTCGAAATAATAATAAAATCATAGTAAATGTTTGTAGTCAAAAAGCGAAAATGTGTGCCTAAGTTCAAGACAATCGGTGTGTAAGAGTGTAATGACCATTTGAACGACGAAGTGAACCGTGTGCTCTCATTCTCTCTCTCTCTCTCTTCCAATATAAATTGTTGTGTGTTTTATGTTGTACTGCACACATTGAGTTGAGAGTATGTGTGTGTGTGTGTGTAGATATTGCACACGTTTAGTCTTTTGTATGCTACGTTCGCTCTCTAACTATCTCAAGAAGAATTTTCTCTGGTTTTATGCATTCTCACAGAATCTCTATCTCTCTATCTCTCTCTCTCTCTCTCTTCATCTCCCTCAAAAATTCAATTTTCAAAATCTATTTCACAGCAATCTATGCTATCCATATATGCATTTACAATGTGAATGGATAAAGAATGTAGACAAAAGAGTCCGGCGAGAATCGTTTGTTCTAAAGAAGTAATGCATACAAAAGGCCTTAACTTAAAACTGCATCCATAAATGCATATATACATTTTCGAGTTTATGTAAATGCATACAGAGAATAATTGAGACGATGACGACGGTCGGGAGGGAGAGAGATAGAGTGAACGTAAGCGAGAGGTTCGAGTGGAATTGTTCGCGACTCGTTGTTGCTTCAACGTTGAAGAACAAGACGACGACGACGATGAAGCGGTTGGATTGGCGCGCTGCACGTCATCGCAATCATTAAATTGGAATTGCACTCAAACATTGTACACGTATTTCGTGCACTTGCATTGGCAATAAAATGAACACGTACTCTCTCTCTATACGATTCGCATCGAAAATCGATCGCAATTTATACGAACTATTGAGAACGTGGTCGCTTTGCCGTACATTCTTACGATGAAAAACTAACGATTGTGTGTTGTTGTTCATAAAACTTATTTATTTACATATTCAGATGGAGAAAGAGAGAGAGAGAGATCTGGAAATAAACAACGTGCAATCAGGCTCATAAAATTTCGATGCAAATACAACAAACCGAATTCGGTGTGTGTGTGCGCGATGTAATATGAATAGTATGTTGGTCTACTGTAAATATTAGAAATCAAGCGAGAGATGAATTATCCAATTCTCATTTTGGCTGCTCACTGCCACTTTGACACACGATTGGGGACACACATACAAAATATTTCATTTTATTGACGTAGATATCTGTACGAAAATCAATATTCGTCCTGATCAAATTCAAAATGTAAACATTTAACATTTTGTCTGAGACGGTGACGAAGCAACATTAAGCGAACCACCATCACGTTTGTCATCATTAAACATTCATAACCGCGAACATTTGCCCATTTGCTGGCCGAGAATGGTATGAGTGAAAGGTGAATGCAAAGATGCATTTGTAGACAAGCAGTCAATGGGCCTGAATGTGACCCAGAGGTAAGGATGGGGACCACATCCATTCACATATCGTCTCAAAATATGCACTTGAACCGTATACATATATACATCACAAACACAAATCGATTCGTGTTTATATTTCATCATGCTCATATGAAATTCAAATCTCAAAGTTGTTATTCCAACTATTCGCGAATATATGCATAGCGATGACTTTGACGCAGATAGAGCGAGGGAGAGAGAGAAAATCAAATTAATTATAACTTACGTATGCATTCTCTTCTTAGACTTGAGCATTTCTATCGAAACTCTGACACATCGAACTGAACACAATTTAATTTAATAATTCAACAAATACTCCCGAAATGTCTATTCAATATTTAAGCAACTAATCATATATGAAACTCAAACCGCATTCTATATGCATATGTACGCCTGAATTCAAGGCTCCACCCAAACATTTCTTGGCTCATGCACTTTTGCTCTCGACACACACACACACACACACATATTATTATATTTTGATATTAATTTATTTACAAGCATCACAGTTAGCAAAACTACCATCAAATTCACACATATGCCGAAAGAGAGAAAAGAAGGAGACACATTTATGTTATTAATTTCATGGCAGTTTCTGATGCATTTTACATTTTCAAATCCATTTCAAACTCTACTAAAACTGTATAACATGTTATTTCAATTAAATTCATATCAAATTCACAAAATTATCGAAATGAAATGCATTTTGAAAGAGAATTCTTGTTCATTTGCACAATCTATTGGAGGAAGTCATTTTCATGGTAGATCTTTAATGAGAAACAAAATATGGTTGATTTTTGGATTTTCATACTAATTGATGGCACCACCGTTCGAAATTTTGCAATTTGAACATTTTAGAATAAAAATGTATAGGACTCTAACCGCTTTCGAAGAGAATGATTATTGTGTTTTTTTCTCGAAAAAGCTCAATTTGAAGGACTCTTAGTGAAAGATCTGGTCCTGGTCGCCATACGTAACAAACGGGTGCGAACATACTCCTTTTACATTAAAAACTCAAAAGTACCTCTTTCACTACAAAAGTAGAAGAGGCTGTGATTGAACCGCGGTGAATCACCAGAAAGTTTAATAAGAGGTCACGGGATTTGATTCAAATTTACTTGGCTCTAATTATCACGAAAAGACCCCAAACCGAGTAAAAACTCGAAATAATTACTTTTGCTTGCTTTTAAAATTTGGAATGCGATTTTGCATTCATTAACAGTGTTAATGGTATGACCAATTTGATTTGAGCACCAATTTGATTTGAGCACCCTTGCATTCAACCGAAATTTGCATTTTAATGTTACATGAACAAATGTTGTGATTTCATGGGAAAGCATCGATTCAAATGCAGATTCTTAGTGAATAATTTAATTCGTATAACATAAAATGTAATTTTAATCCTATTAAAACATTTATTGATTTTACATGTCAGGCAAATAAAAAGGAAATGTTCGAAGACGACGACTTGGATATATCGTCTGGATCCGATTTTGATGAGGATGAAGATCCCGATAAAATTGAAGTTCCTGGTAAGTTTCACCTTTAGAAATTATTCTATTTTTTTTTATTCTTTTTAATTGTTAAATTTTTAACTCGATATTTTTTTAATTCCGTGATAATATTATTTGTGTGTTTTGTAGGTGGTGGTCGAGATTTGGCCACGGCTGTCAATTATGCCAAGCAAAGTTCCCTGGGTAGTTCATTAACTACCACTCAATCAAATAGTTCGACAAAAGCAACAACATTCGATGTACAATCGAATCCAGTTGCAGCAAATCAACCACAACCTGTGTTGAAGCATTTGATACCAGCCGAATCGATTTTAAAACCATTTTTACCAAAAGTGAATACAGCATCGACACGAGTACATCCACCGTCGACAACAACAAACATTACAGCCGCATCAAATGCGGCAATGGCATACTCGAATGCAGGCGGCTATGGAAGTGCTGGTGCTAAAACACAAGCTCCCACACAAGGTGAGAACATTTTATCATTGATTGAAAAATTTGTTAAAATTACTGAGAATCACTCGAGAAGACAAATTGATTTGGTGAAATAAATTCGAAGAAAAGTTCGAAAATTTCAAGAACTTAATTCTTTGTCAAAGACTTTTTTTTTAATTTAAAGAATTATCTTGAAAATGTCAAAAAAAAAAATTGCTGAAAAAAATATTCAAACAAATTTGATCGTTTATATGCTTGCGAATTGCGGGAATCGATCAGCGTTTGGAATAAGAAGTGCAAGCGCTGCAAATTCATCGATGCCAATGATGAATGCAGCTGGTTTAGGCGCTTTAGGTTCAGTTTCATCGACACCAAGTCTTTATTCGATAAACAATATGGCCGCCTCACTTTTAGCACAGAGTAAGTTCAATTGGCAAACAAAAGCACGTGCAATCGGAACAAAACAGCACCATATGAACCTTGAATACATAAACCTTCTCAAATTATTGTCATTGCCGAAGAGAAAAAAAAAATATTTGAAATGCCCATCCCTCGAATCCAACAAATTATAAGACAAATTGAAGCTTCAAAAAATGGCAATAATTTTATATTTCCTTCAAATTTGATTTTAAAAAAAACATTGAACATGAAAAATGTCCCAATTTTGTTCCATATTAGGTGGAATGTTACAAAAATCCAAAAAAAAAATCTAATTTTCTTTTAAAATTTGCATTCAATTTTTAGTAATTTAAATAGTTTGCCAAAAAAAATGTGAAAAATGACAATATTTTCTCGTTCACAGTGGAAATGGGTGCCAGTGGATTTGGAGGTCTCGGTGCAATGGGTGGCGCAATGGTCAATCCAAATGTTGCTCAAACATATCAGGCAATGTTGCAAAACATTCAAAAATTACTCGCATACAATCCAGACTTTTTAACAAAAGGCATACCAAACAATTTACTGCAAATGTGCATGGAACAAACGAAATTGCCCACAGTCTATGGCGCTGTAAGTGTAAAAATTTATCCGCAGTGTGGAAAAGGTATTTTGAATCGTACTTAATCAAATTCTTGATATTTGTTTCAGCAACCGCAATTGGTCCAACCCGAAGAAGACGAGGCGGAAGAAGAAGAAATGGGTGTCGCCGAAACATACGCTGACTATTGGCCGGCAAAATTAAAATTGGGCAAAAAGCATCCGGATCCAGTTGTTGAAACTGCATCACTCTCTTCGGTTGAACCGACCGATGTAACATACAAATTGGCGATTCCCAACGAACCAACCATTGACAGTGGTTTACTCAGTGCATTACAATTGGAATCAATTACATATGCATCACAAGCACACGAACAACTTTTACCAGATGGATCTCGGGCTGGATTTTTGATTGGTAAGGATACAGTTTTGACGCCAAAGAACAAAAAACAAAAAACAAAAACCAAAAAATCCAATTTTCCATTAAAAAAGGTGACGGTGCTGGTGTTGGCAAAGGTCGTACCATTGCCGGTATAATATTCGAAAATTATTTGCGCGGACGCAAAAAGGCCATCTGGATTTCCGTATCAAATGATTTAAAATACGATGCTGAACGGGATTTGCGAGACATTGGTGCTAGCAATATCGAAGTTCATCCTTTGAATAAGGTACGAAATCAAATTCATTTTTTTTATTAACAATTTTCGTACATAATTTTTATGCACGAATTTCTGATGAAAAATGTATTTTTTTTTTAATAAAAAGTAATCTAATTTCGTGTTCATTTAAAATTACAGTTCAAATACGCAAAAATCAATTCGACTGTGAATAACAATGTGAAAAAAGGTGTGATTTTCAGTACATACTCAGCGTTGATAAGTGAGTCAACGGGAAATAATAACAAATACAAGTCACGACTAAAGCAATTGTTGCAATGGTGCGGTTCGGATTTTGATGGTTGCATCGTATTCGATGAATGTCACAAAGCGAAAAATTTGTGTCCGACGGGTTCGAGTAAACCGACAAAAACTGGCTTGACCGCTTTAGAGCTTCAGAATCGTTTGCCAAAAGCACGAGTTGTTTATGCATCCGCGACCGGAGCGTCAGAACCAAGGAACATGGCGTATATGGTGCGATTAGGTCTGTGGGGTCAAGGAACACCGTTTGCCACATTCAATGAATTTATCACAGCGGTTGAAAAACGGTAACTTTCGCTTCTTTTCTCCGAATTTCATTCGATGATTTTAAATTTGAAAAAAAAAAAAATCTCTGGAGATATCCGAGTGAGAAATCTGTTGTATTTTGTTCTAAAAATGTGGTGTTTGATTACAGTGGTGTTGGTGCTATGGAAATCGTTGCTATGGACATGAAACTGCGTGGCATGTACATTGCGCGCCAGCTTAGTTTTCATGGTGTCACATTCAAAATTGAAGAAGTACCGCTGTCGGCCAGTTTCAAGAAGGCCTACGATGAATCTGTGGAATTGGTGAGTTTCGACTGATTAAAATGGACGAGATTCCAATGAAATAAATATTTTTCTTCCTTATTTTTTGTTGCCACAGTGGGTGGAAGCGATGCAAAAATTCACCGAAGCGGCTGAATTGATCGATGCAGAGAGTCGTATGAAGAAAACAATGTGGGGCCAATTCTGGAGTGCGCATCAACGTTTTTTCAAATATCTGTGCATTGCATCGAAAGTGAATCATGCGGTGATGGTGGCACGTGAATCGATAAAAATGGGAAAATGTGTTGTGATCGGTTTGCAGTCAACGGGCGAAGCAAGAACGCTTGAACAATTGGAACGTGAAGATGGTGAATTATCCGATTTTGTGTCGACCGCTAAGTGAGTGAAGATATCGTGATGAAGCAACTCAATCGGCCTCAACATATTTCGCGTCGTTTCCCTTCCAAATCTCTTGATCTAATTTCTTCCTTTTTCTTTTATTTTTCCAGGGGTGTATTTCAGTCGTTGGTGGAGAAGCATTTTCCGGCACCAGATCGTAATCGTATCAATCGTTTATTGGGTTTGGATGGTTCAAAGAAAACGGCTCTCCAGACAATTTTGGACGAAGCAAAAACCAAAACCGCTGCCACATCATCGACAGCATCCGGTTCAAAGCGTAAACCAACCACTGAACCGCAAATTGATCGTAAACGAAAGAAACGCAGCAATTCGGAAGAAGTGAGTGGCGGTGAATTTTCGGATGGTGTAAATGATATGTCAGACGATTCCGATTTCAAGAATAACAGCGAATCCGATAGTGATGAGGACGATGAAGAGCCCGACGACGAACAATACGACAGTAATCAAAGTGATGATTTCAATCCATTTGGTGGTGATGACAGTGATTCAGACACCGATCCATGGGTGGCACGCAGTAAAAAGTTAAAACCAGTGAAAAAAGCACAACCGAAGAAAAAACCACAATCAACACAAGATAAAATTCAAGCATTGATTACGAAAAAACAAACGGTGAATGCAACAACAACCGCATCATCGTCAAGCACAACAAATACAATACAATCGACAGGTATTGGAACAAATGGTTTCAAAATGAACTATGGACCACCGCCAAAAGATGCCATCGAAAGAGCGTGTGAATTGAAAGAAGAATTATTGAAGAAAATCGAACGTTTGGGCGAACATCTGCCACCGAATACATTGGATCAATTGATCGATGAATTGGGCGGTCCGGAAAATGTGGCCGAAATGACCGGACGCAAAGGGAGAGTCATACAGACTGAAGACGGACAAATTCAATATGAATCACGTTCCGAACAAGATATTCCATTGGAAACACTGAATTTAACCGAAAAACAACGATTTATGGACGGCGAAAAGGATGTGGCCATCATTTCCGAGGCTGCCAGCAGCGGTATTTCACTTCAAAGTGATCGACGAGTACGCAATCAACGGCGTCGGGTACATATCACACTTGAACTACCGTGGTCAGCCGATCGTGCCATCCAACAATTTGGACGAACACATCGATCGAATCAAGTGAATGCACCTGAATACATGTTCCTCATTTCGGATTTGGCCGGAGAACGAAGATTCGCATCAACCGTTGCGAAGAGACTTGAATCACTTGGCGCATTGACACATGGCGATCGACGCGCAACCGAAACACGTGATTTATCACAATTCAATTTTGATAATAAGTATGGACGCAGCGCATTGGAATCGATCATGAAAAGTATCATGGGATATGAACAACCGTTGGTACAACCGCCAAAAGATTATAAGGGTGACTTTTTCAAAGATATTGCCGGCGCATTGGTCGGTGTCGGTTTTATTGTTAATAGCGAAGCAACGCCAGGCGTTTTAAGTTTAGATAAGGACTATAATAACATATCGAAATTTCTCAATCGCATTTTGGGAATGCCGGTCGATTTACAAAATCGATTATTTAAATACTTTACCGATACGTTGAACGCAACCATTTCAACGGCCAAGAAAACGGGACGATTCGATTTGGGCATTGTGGGTAAGGATACATTGAGTGGTTTTTTTTACTTTTCCGCACACCTAGTGTGGGAAAATTATTTTAATATTCTTTGTGTTTTTCCTTGTCCGAAAAAAAGAGGACATTTTTTCATGTAATTTTTTTTTAAAAAACCCTAGAAATTAACGAATTTTTTCCCTTTATTCCAGATTTGGGTAAATCCGAAAACGTAACACGAATAAAGTTAGTTCGATTCCTGCGAAAGCATGCCACAGGAGTGGCTCCAATTGAATTGCACACAGTACACGTTGAACGAGGAATGATTTGGCAAGAGGCGATCGATATGTGAGTTCAAACGAATTGAACGATTTTTTTGAAAAAAAAAAAAAAAAATACTAATTTTCTCCGTTATCTCTAGTTGGGCTGATTTATCGACTGAAAAAGAGGGTTTCTATTTATCACATCAAAATCGAAATGGCAAGCACACCGCCATTCTAGCCGTGATGATTGACAACGATCGTTCATCTGGCTCATCAAGTTCGACAAAAAAGAAAAGTGATAAATCGCCAAGTAAAAAGGATATAATGTTCCAAATCTATCGTCCAAACACCGGACTACAATTTCGTCACGAGTCATTGGCTGAAATTGAGAAAAAATACAAAAAAGTGCAAAGTGATGAGGCCGAACCACATTGGAATCAGCAGTACGATTCATCCATACAGACCTGTTCACATGCATATTGGCGTGGTAATTGCCGTAACGTCACGTCTGGAGTCGAGTGTGAAGTATAAAAAATTATTCACAATCGTTAAATCGATTGCGTTCGTAATCCAAACAGAATGTAAAATGTACTAAATTTGTGTTGTGTTTGTTTCAGGTTGGGTTGCGTCGTCGAACGTATATGGTGCTGTCGGGATCAGTATTGGCTGTATGGCAACGGGTTGAAAATCAATTGGCCACACGATTGTCAAGCAATAATCGAATGCAAGTGATTCGTTTAAAAACGGCCGATGGCAATAAAATCGTCGGTATCATGGTGCCAAAATTGTGTGCCGATGCTCTGGTCGCCGATCTTAGACGTGATGCCGAAAAAGTCGAAGAGAAAACCTTTACCCATTAAACAAAACTATACACATTAAGAATTGAATTTAAATTAAAAAAAAGACGAATTTTTCGAACGAATTCGGTTGTTTACGCTTAAAAAAAAAAAAAAAGAAAATCATGGAAACACATTTGGAAAATTTAAACAATTTTAAAGAAATTTCCAAAATTGATAATACAGTGAACGTACATTTATACAAAAAGAATAGCACATTTGAATATAATATAATATATGACATTAAACAACGCATTAAACATTCAAACAATATCCAATTAGACACATTTTAAGCAAAACTTAATAAAATTGGATCAATTCAAACAAGTTTCTATGTGTTCATCACTTAAACAAACATTAAGTAGATTTGATAATTAAAATTGATTAAGTTAAAGAAAAATTGCTGTGTTCAATTTAAATTGAAAACTAAATGTATGGATCGACACAATAGAAATTCAAAAGAACGACCCGCTCCTAGTCAAAATGTAGATTTTGATAAATTACTCAAAAAAAAAAAATGAAATTTTCGATAATTTTTAAATCAATCGTTTCAAGTTTCTCTCATGCCTTGAACGGCTTGAACTAAATTTTTACCTTGATTTCAAGGGCTCGCTTTTACTTTCCCACTTTCTTTGGTAAAAGTACTTTCTTAAATGTCGAACCTTTTGAAAAGTCGAATACATTTTTGGATTTGAAACTATAATTTTTGTGTAAATAAAATAATTCCGTACGATTTTTGTTGATACATAGACACAACACATTCTAAATAATCACCGTAGACAACGATTTTGGTTTGAGCAAAAAAATAGGCCACAGACACAACAATTCTCAGCCAGCAAAAAACCTACTTCAACTCATTCTTAATTTATAGCTACATTAGGCTTAGGTTGAGTAAAAGACAATTTCTAGCACAAAAACAATAACATGGACTCTTAAAAATCCAATAATATTATTATTATGATTACAAAAAATTCAATGTTTACTTTTCAACATTTGATTTAACGAATTCTGGTTAGATAAAAAAAAGTAAAAATATTCCTTAACATAAAACACTCAACTTTGTAGACTTAACGAACATTATTACTGTAGACGTTGTGCTTGTATTATGTCAAACACACACATACACACATAGAGACAGCGGTATCCATTTCGAATAAAGTTTTAATTTATTGAACAAATTTGGGGATTTATTTAAATTTTATACAATTTAGGTTCATCGGTACCATTGGCAGTACGTGCTTCGGTCAGTTTTCGGTACGAAATTACACAGATACCTGTGTGGAATAGCGAAATTCAAGAAAGTTTGAAAAAAAAATGGGAAAAATTCAAAAAATTTGATATTTGATCTTTGTTTAAAAATTTGGAATTTTTTTTTTTTTTTTGAAAATTTAAGAAAAAACATTCTTTTTAATTTGAGAAAAAAATTCCTTCAATTAAGAAAAAAACATTTTTTTTCACATTTTTGGTCAAATTTATGAATTTAATATCATTTTGGGCTTTGAAAATAAACGAATTATCAAACTTTTTGTGAAATAAAATGATTTGACTTACGATCATCGTGTGCCGGATTTCTATAAAATACGCTTCCGATGCGATGGTCATATCCACATAACACGATATAATGACCCGAAAATCTCGTTTTTGGCTTACTGATTGAGAAGCATTTTCTGGAAAATATGTCAATTTTTTTAAATTTCACTTGGAAATTAAAATAATTTATTCTTGTTGTAAAAAAAATGTAAAGCGGATTATCATACAATTTTTGGAGCAAATCCAGGGGCCCCCAAATTTCAAAGGTTTTTTTTTTTTTTTTTTGAATAGATAGAATTTTTTTACAATGGGCCCCCAAAGTCTCAATCCGCCACTGATGTAAAGGCTTTCTGTGAGTTTCTTTTAATCCAGCAGATCGATTATTCCAAATTTATTCCACCTATTCAACCTCCCCGATGGAAAAAGTCCCGCCATCTATCTTACCTAATTTCCTGCAAACACTCTGACTCTTTCGTCTGGCATAAATCACAGTGCAACAAATATCCATTAGTAAGTGCAATGACTGGTCCTTTCTTCGCTAAATGCTCCAAAAGCGCTTTATTATCAATTGTTCTCTTTTGAATTTTCAAACCATTGCATGAGGCCTTATCAAATTTCGAGCTCACTCTTATGTGATCTATCCACAAAATTGCTCCGTAATAATCATTGTTGCGAAAGTCTGGATTAACGCCAATGGTTATTGTGGTGTAAATATGTCGAATATTAAATCGACGAAGCAGATAACACAGGTCAATGGTCCAAGTGCTGTACAAAAAACACCGTGGATTAACATCAAAATTACAGTGCTGTGGAAAAAAAGGTAAAGAAATGTGAGTTACCTTTGGCCAAAGTCTTCTTCGTCACAAATTTGATTGAATTTGGTAAGGAATTCGTGGCGTTGTCGTCGATTCAGCAACATCATAACACAGGATATGCCACAATCCCAATCGGAACGCTGTTGAAAATGCACCATTGAATGACGTATTAATTGCGGCATGTTGGAATTTTCAAAAAAAAGATGCATTTTTTCAATTTTCATTAAAATTTCAATATTATTATAGACATACCTTTAAATCGTATTCTTCTTTGATTCATTTCTTTCCGATTTCCAAAACATGTGTTAACAGCTCAACTCCAGTGATAGAAATAAGAACTCGCTTACATAAAAACCACTACAGTCATTGTGACACCAAATATATCTTCAAGTGATATCGATTGTTATCATCGGATAGTTACTATTGTGTCATCGATTACACCAAAAGTAAATTAGGTTTACATTAAATCGATGTGTCAATTGTTATGTTTTGTTTACCTTTCCAAAGTGTGTGCATGAAAAGTCAACAATTTGACAGATGGGTTAACGACAGCAACGCATCGATATGAACACATCGCGAAGGTATGCGTTGCGTGAGTTAAACAATTTAAATTGAGTGTCATTTAACGGAATATGTGATTAACGGCTTTGTGTTCAATGAACTATTTCAATTTGTAATGAATAATTTATGTGAATGGAATGTAGGACGAAATTAAAGGAAATCTAAGAAGAACGGATAGAATACATGACCTAAAAGCCCACTACTCATTAAAAAACATTATGAATTTGGCGTGTTTTATGTTTCTGACTGGGTCATCTTTACAAGATTGGATGTTAAAGTGCTACTGTTTATTATTGGATTGCATATATATATATATATTAGGGTGGTGCGATTGGTAATTTCGATAGGAACTTGCTC